CCATGGCCAAGAGGACTCTGAGCCTTGTATCAAAGGGCAACTCAACCCTTAATTTCACCCTTTTGTAAAAGATCCAAATTCTTAAAGACCCAAATTCACAATGAATTGTCCCACCTACACTTGGCACATTGTCTTTTGTCTGCTTTGTAGTTCCCATCCCTGCAACCAATCAGAAAATCTGTGCATGACAAGAAACCATCACCCCCTACTCCTTAGTTGGGAGCCAGCAGCTGAAGAATTAACAAAACAAAAAGTCCCACTGCTTGACTGATTGGATGCTAGTATAATAAATTATCAACAAGTTGTTTTTATTACTTGTTTTTCTTAATCACAGTGGACTCAAAGCATAACTCCTGGGCCAGCAGCATCAACACGTCCTAAGGCTAGTAAGAAATTCACAAAGTCTGGCTCTCCCTGGTGGTGCAGCAGGTTAAAGCTCACCGTTATGAAGCTCTGAAGCCACTGCAGCACGAGCTCAATCCCCCACCAGGAGCTGACCTACATGGTGTGGCAGACCTCTCCTGACCCACCTGCTGCTCCCCTCAGCAGTGTACTTTGTCGATCTGCCTATTCTGCATCCCACTCTGTCTCTGGTGAATGCTCTCACTGGTCACACCTCTGGCCTGTACCCCAGTTCTGTAAGCATAAATAAATAAATCTTTAAAAAAAAAAAGAAATTCACAATGTCAGATCCAGATCGCCAGGTTGAAAAGAGTGGTTACCCGCCTTTTAACAAGTCTTCCAGATGATTCAGATGCCTGCTTAAGTTTAAGAACCACAGTTTCCTAATCCCAAAGCAAGTTCAGAGCAGTGGATAAGCTTAAGAGTATTTTAAGTGATGAAAATAATTATCAAAAATTTGTAATGATTATAAATTTTAACTAATTAAAAATTTTTAAAAATAAAATAAAAACTGATGTGAAGAGCCACAGCCAGTGTTGTGCTTAGTCAACAAAAGAAGGTTTGTGGGGGCACCCTGCATTTTCTCCTTTAGTGCCATGAGGTGAATCAAGAGTCCCTGCAGAGAAGCACAACTATTTTGGGTAGAGAGCTTCCCTGTGGGGCCACATAGAGAAGGCTGTGATACTCTCAACAGAGTGATGTTCTCAACAACAAGCTTCCCCAAAACACAAAGTCTCCTAGGCTGTTACTCAATAGAAACTAGTGATGGCCGCAGGCCAGCAGATTCTCCCCAGGGAACTCTGCCAGGCTGGGAGAAGAGCAGCTCTTGAAGGTCTGAACTTAAACTACAGACAGAAGAACTAGAAAGCCTCAGCTACTCCATAAACACCTTCTCCTCACTGAGCCCTGGAGACCCCAGCCTGTGGCAGCTTCACACACCCAAAAGCTCAGGGGGATATTATTTACTCCTGAATTTTTTCCCCTATCAATTTAGTAAATGTGAAGATCTTACAGCAAAACCCCAAAGGGAAATGGGGCAGCCTGGTGTGAGTCCTCCCATGTACACTTTGAAAAAAACTCAGAACAAGACTGACCCAAGTACAGGCTGTTGGGAGTGGCCAAATGCGGAGATTTACTGAGGGACTGGATAAGGGCAATAATAAATCAGGCCTTGCATCCAAAGGTGATAAGGTGGTAATAAATTGGGCCTTGCATCTAATTAACTGGTCCTTGCGTAGGGATGGGACTAGATGAAGGTGATAACGAACTGGGCCTTACATCAAGGACACAGCGATGAGTCACCCCTTTGAAATCTGATGAGTCACCCCTTTGAAATCTGAGCTTAGGACCTATATAAGAGACCCTTCCCCCTTATTGAGTGGGCAGTAGCTGTGGACCCCACTCTAGGGGCTCCGTCTCAGCTGCTGTCCCGGAGCAATAAACTCTGTTTGCTCAGCCTTTCTGCTTCCTGCCTTCCTTTCTTGCAGCCAGTGACAGAAGTTGGGACAAAACATAGGCACACGGCCCTCCCTGGTGGCGCAGCGGGTTAAAGCACAGCACTGAGAATCTGAAGCCACTTCCGCATGAGTTCGATTCCCGCCTGCCGCCTGCCCCGGAGGAGACCACATGGCGAGCCAGACCTCTCCTGACCCGCCCGCTGCTCCCCTCAGCAGTGTACTTCGTCAATCTGCCTGTTCTGCTCCCCACTCTGTCTCTGGTGAATGCTCTCACTGGTCACACCTCTGGCCTGTACCCCAGTTCTGTAAGAATAAATAAATAAATCTTTAAAAAAAAAAAAAAAAAAAAACATAGGCACACATAGAAAAGTTAATGAAAGGTGTATTTCCAAGAAAAATGGAGAGAGGAGAACCCAGAGATGGAGCTCTATAGAGATTTGTTGGTTAATACATCCTACCAGTAACGCTGGCTGAGCTGGGATCCCAGTGGAAGCTGAAGGCAGGCTAAAACCAAGTTCCCTCAGGCTCACGTGTCCTTCCTTTTGCTATCAAGCCTGACTCTTAACTCCACCCTTTGCTCCCAGCAATTCTCTTCCAAGGGTTACTGCAAGGCCAAGGCATGATGGGAGTTGTAGTCTGAGGTGAGGGATCTCTGGCTTGCAGGTGGGGGTGGAGCTCGGTCAGGGTTTACTGTTCCCCCAACAAAGATACAACTGTAATTAGAGGAGTGGACTTAGCAGCCATTAGCAGAACAAAGGTCTCCAGAAGAATTAAGTGCTCTTACTATTTGTTGCCACCCTCCATTTAAACATTTGTCCCTCCTTGTGTTGAAGCCCATTACATCTAAATCATAATCCTAAAATGACCTCTAATTAAGGTGAGCCATAAATAATTAAGAAGTTTACGTTTATTACTTACTCGACAAAATGAACATTTAAATGTGCGGGCTCAGTATTCACATTTGAGGCTGCAGTAGCAAATATAGTAAATGTGCAACATTAAAATTCTGGCCTGGGACCAGTAGTTATATGTTTCTCTGGTCACAAAATTTACATAATTACCTGAGAGAAAGCAAACAGAATGCAGTAATATTTTGGCTTTATTTGATTTGACGCTCATTTTTTCCCATTGGTTTTTCAAGCAAGTTCAAACATTAAAAAAGCACTAATGAAGTCCCTATATCTCAGGCCCAGAAGTGAAAAGATCACAGTATTCTCCCTCCACAGAAATTGCCCAGGAAGAAAAGGAACCACATAGTCTGCTTTTAGAATAAGCTGACAGATATTTTCTTTAAAAGTTTTAAGGCGTGGGCCCTCCCTGGTGGTTCAACAGGTTAAAGTGCAGCACTGCAAAGCTATCAACTGCCTCTGTACAAGCTCGATCCCTGGCCAGGGAGCTGATCCACATGGTGCAGCTGACCTCTCCTATCTCCCCACTGCTCCCCTCAGCAGTGTACTTCATCAGTCTGCCTGTTCTGCTCCCTATTCTGCCGCTAGTGAATCCTCTTACGGCCCCTGCACCTCTGGCCTATACCCCAGTTCTGCATGCATAAGTAAATAAATCCTTTTTTAAAAAAAGTTTTAAGGAGACTTTAAATAGTAAATGTGTTTGGTTTAGTGGGTCCTATTGTCTTTGTCTCAATGGCTCCACTCTGTCCCTGGGGCAAGAAAGTAGTCATAGACAATAGGCATACAAATAGCAAGGCTGCATTCCAATGACATTTTATTTACAAAAACAGGCAGCTTTCAAATTTGACCACTGGCTCAAAATTCGGGCACCTCTGGTTTGGGAAACCCTATGATTTCCTGCTGCCTATGAAGACACTGAAAACAAACACCCAGGATAAAATGGTCAAAAAAGCCAAGTGACCCAAAGTAGAAATCTTCATGACTCCCGTCTCTTGTTAAAAAATCACCCCTGCCTCTGAAAAACAGAATTCATCTGCTGGGATTCATCCTCCATATATTATAGAATCCTGTTTTGCTAATGATGGAATGAAGCCACATGTTGGGGAAGGCAAGGTAGTCACAAAAATACTTGCATTTCCTACTCCACCACATAAAAAGAGGTAGCCAATGAAATATAAAAAGTCATTAGATGGATTATAAAAAGAAAAGATCTTTAAATAGAGTTAACTCAAAGAGTAGCTATCCTTTCACTTGTCCCTAACTGTTTCTTTCAGAAGCAAAAAAAGACATGCTGGTTTGACCTACAACAACCATCTGATAAGCATAAAGTGATCAAGATTGAAGTTATGACCTGAGAATGAGAGAACAAAAATAGAGAAGGAATATGGCCCTTGATGGTATCACCACACATTGCATCAATCTGGCAATGTGCCCATAGGTTTCACATCATGTGTTGAAAAAAAGTTGAAAGCTACTGTTGTTTCAGATCGCTGTAGGCCTGCAGTCAAATGTAATCCCTAACACACACAGGCCTCTTTGCTTTCTCCTTGCTATTCTGCCTCTTCAAAATGCCGTCTCCTGCTACTTCCCATTTCTCCATTTTTCCAAGTGTTGTTCATTCTTCAGATGACACAAATGCTACCTCCTCCTTCCACAGCTATCCAATACTTTGCTTTTCTCTGTGTATTATCAGTACTGAAAGTCAACAACAGGCTCTGCTGTGCACTCGCCATGAGGCGATAAGCACGTTTTTTTAAGCTCTTCAACACTGACTTCCTGCATCTGCAAGATGGAGACGTAGAAAGCTCTGATTTATATTGTTGCTGTGAGAAATGTATAGATAAAGGACATGAAAGACTATAATGCCTGCACATAGAAAGTAGTCAATAAGTGATTAGAACCATCATTATTATTGTTGTTTCCATGATTAGTTGTGTCTCAATTAGTAGGTTATTGAGTTCTCTCCCTGACCACAGTTGTACATTTTGGGTGGGACAATGTCTCATCTTCCTGTAAGCCCCAGAGCACCTAACTTACCAGCTAGATCAGTGGAGAAACAAGAGAATAAATGGTAGTACTGAACTAACTAACAACAAATGGCAGGAAAGGATAATGCACTTTGCAAGGGCATCCTTTGTACAGTGGAAAAGTAGAAAGCAAACTCAAAGTCATATGTAGACATTTTCTTCCCAGTTATGGGCCATTCATTTCAAATAGTGTTTTTTCTGCTTACAGAGGCTTTCATCATTTGCAAGCCAGTAGAAGTGGTGACACACTTGTGCTACCCGAGCAAGCTCCTTGTGTGACAGAAGGGAAAATATACAAATCCATATTTCATCAGGCAGGAGTAACCACTGGGAGAAATCAGCATCTCTCTTTTGCTCCTGGAATGGAACAAAAGACAATGAATGACCTAAAGGTTAGTACAGAGATGATCACACATCTTCAAAAAAAAAACAAAACCCAAATACAGTGCACCGAACACATATTATCATAGACATCTGGTATCACTTTTCTTTCTTTCAATCACCTCAGCCCAGTTCATCCACAAGACAAAATCCACCACTCAAAGTTTAGAAATTAAAATGAAAGTATTAACAGAGAAACCTAATAGACATTTAGCCCCTCTGACTTCACTGCTGTGCAGTCCCTTTAACCTTGGCTAACCACACTCAGGCTTCTACGTTGGTCTCTGACATAGAGACTAAGAGAACCTAAACATGTTTCTGTAGTTCCCCGATCAATGCAGGCCCAACCCATGGCTAGCCCACATTAGTGTTTACAGCCTTAAGAGCTGGTGCTGGGACGAGTCAGCTTGAACTGGACAAAGCATCTTTGTCATCAGCCTTCTTGTCCTTTCCATGGGTGCACACCAGTTTCTTAGGAAATAAAGGTGACTATTAAGGTTGGACAAAAACCCACTTCTTAAATAAGATTTCCTCAGTGTGGAGGTCCTCGTAACATGACAAAGGACTAGGTTTCCACCTGGAATATCTAGTCCTTACCCAGGTATTTGCTCAAAAGTTATAATCCCAACTACAGTGTGATGCCTCCTGCCTTTCAACAAAATCTAAGAATTTTATTTTAGGTGCTATTTTTGCTCACACTGTAATTGCATACATTCTATGGATAAGACAAACATGGTAAACTTGTGTCGATTCTTAATACTGAGAATTCTGACTTCTACTCTAGAATACTTCCCACATGTTTGTGTAGCAAAAATGTAACATGGCTCTTTTAGACCTTGTCCCTGTGTATCATAATCAATGAAACAGCAGCCTAACCATCAAAAGTAATTTAAGAAACAATTCAAATGTTTACTGGAGTCTTTTTTAAAATATAAAACAATTCCAATAAAATTCCTGCTTATTTTTCTTCCAAACCTCTTTGGCATGGGCCATGCTACACATGTTGGTTGACAAGGCCCAGGCTGGGGGAGTTTCCTGAAAAGTCAGGCACTCCACAGCTGGTTCTCGCTACTTCCTTTCATTTTGTTTATAGCCATCATTGCAATTCTTGGAATATTGTATGGGTTACAAAATTGACAAAAAAAAAAAATTCTGATATTAATGCCCTCTTTGGTACAATATATTCTTGTAAAATGAGTTCAGAAAATCTTGATGCAGATGATAATAATACAAAATCTAATATTTCTCAATGTCCTCTGTTTTGTGACTTATCCATCATAAATAAAGCTGAGTTCTTTAACAAACTAGCCTTGAAAGAACTATTGGAACCAAGCCCAGTAAAAGTTCCCACTGAGGTTTTGCTTTAAGATATAATTGCTTAGGCAAAACAAGTGGAACAAGGGATGTATACACTTCAGCAGATTAAATGCCGAAAACATCATTAGAGCCCAAATGTCATTAGAATCTGAAGACCTAATAAATGACCTTTTGTTAGTCAGTCTTAAACAAGATATGCCCTAGACACATCATTGCTTTAGCTGTCATGTCAAATAACCACAGAGTAAGCTTTGTCTAGCACCTTTCGTTTCCTTGAAATTGTAGCCATGCATGAAAATAAACAGGGGGGTCATCATGGCCTAAAACACTTTGCAGCTTTGCAACTCATAATCTATTACAATTGTATGCACCCTGACCTGACATGCTTTGTAGCTTTGTAGTCTATTATAATTGTGTAACTACTACTTTAAGACTCTTGAAAAATTAACCTACAAAATACCAGGAAGTGCAAAATATATAAAGACCTTCTGAGAGGTTTTCTCAGGAGACGCTTGCCACCTGATCGAGTGCCTGTGTCTCCTCAATCGTCTCCGTCCTTCCCTGCATGTACCTTACCTTAGCTGAAGTGGCCTTCAGCACCTCTTCACATCCTGCTGTGGTCCCCTTATACTTCTTGCTCTAAGTTCCCCCCAAAATGTTCTCCCAGTCCCTTGCCTTTCTTGGTTGATTATTTTCTCCTTTCACTGATTTATAGTTTATCTCTTTCCAACCTAAAATACCAGTGGCCAAATTTGGCTATGTCCAATTCTGCAACAATTTTCCCGCAATATTCAAGTCATCAATCTAAGTTCCTAGGATTCAAAAAGCCATTAAGTGCTGCAGTTAATAGTTGTATATGTCCTCTGTTCACCATGTTAAATGAGGTAGTAAGCCCCATGGAAAACACACTTTTGAGAACCGCGTAAAGAGCACAGTGTATATTATTAAATGAATAAGGTATGTTCAAATATATTTGTAAATCATAAAAGTGAATTGTAAATCATGAATTCTAATAAATTGATGCATGTCTATCATATGCATTTACACATGCTAAAAGAACAGCACCTGTTCTTTGATCAGCTTACCTTTCATTTATGTAATAATCAGGGCTTCGCGGATTCAGGTTGACACTCTCAGTCTTTCATTTGACTGGTGATTACTGATTTTACAACACTCAATATTTTTACTCTGTGAATGCTGCACATTTTATCTTGTTTCTTAGTGACAACAACTTTGCATACTAGGGGGCAAAAGGTGCCTAAATAAGAGAAGAGAAGAGGAACACCTGGAAAAGGCCAGGCTGTTTGCCAAGGTTCCCACATGCCTTATATCACTTAATATACATAATTACCAATGATCTACTTTAAAGCATTTTCACTCCAAGTGCCACAATTCTAAGAAAGTGGTGCTTGTTGGGGGAAAAACTCTGAAATCCTCACCTGGCTTTAGGGAAAACCATAATTGAACTGGAGTTCATCAATTCTCCCATCCACCATGTGGCATGCCCATCTAATCTCCAAATGCCCTTCCTACTGATGCAAGGTTTTCCCTGCTTGGAAACACTGGGATTGTTCAAATTTAAATGGGATTAGCATGTTGACTGCTCACACAGTGCATAGGCTGGTTACCTTATTTTCTCTTTCTTCATCTTGAAACTCATTCTTGCTGAAGAATTTTTCAACAGATCCTAGAAGAAATTTAACACATGAAACCCATCAAAGAAAATGAAATAGCAACCTATCCTTCTAGTCTAATGAGCACAATAACCCCAGCAACATCAAGGAGATTGTACGTAACCACACTTAATTTAGAGAAAGGATGGTCTAGTATTGGAAGTTATTATGTGTCTGTGTGCTTTAAACGTTCAATCATCAGGAAAACTAATTTGCTAACCAAGGCTCCAGAAAAGAAGAGGATAGAGGGGGTGAATATTTTCTATTCCGAGTGATGAACTGACAGGTACCAATTATAATCCCCAGCAGAAATATCCCCTCCCACCTCACAGCTGCCCCTTTACTACACTAAGACTAAATCAAGTATCAAATGATGCGAATAAGAAAGCCACCAAGTGGACTCCCACATTTCACCTGAACATTGGTATGGCACAACTGGGTCACAATTTTCAGCCATCCATTTTATTAAACATTTGGAATCTATGAAAAAGAAGCTTCACATGAAGGAGAGAAGGAACCATGGCTTACTTGAAAGCATTTGTTCTGTGTGGCTGGCAGGTGGACATGAACTTGAAGGAGATGGGTAAGAGTAAGGTAAATGAAGCTATCAGGGTTTTTCCACCGCTAGCATCATGGTTGACTCCTATGGTCTTACACACGTGCCTGAGGATGGCACCTGGAGTATGGCGTGGGCAGGTGAGAGTGGGTGGGTGCCCCTGAGCTGAGACTGAGCATTTAAGTGCCACAGCAAGAGGACAGGAGAGGAGAAAGGATGGTGCAGCAGCGAGCAGTAGCAACCAGCAAAGAGACCAGGAGAGAATGCCAGAGAGCCCAGAAAGACTAAAAATTTGCCAGCATCAAGGAGGCCTGCTGGACCCCCTGTCTGTCCGGCACCTGGTTGCCTCACTAAACATGGTGTAGAAGGATCATTAAAAGCCTGGAGAAAGCCACTGAGGCCTCCAGGACTCCTCTTTTCCCCATATGCCCAGATCATAGAAAAATTGTTCTGTGCCTTCCTGGCACTATAGGGAGACTACACATAGGAGGAACAGGTTGGGGTGGGGAGGCACAGGAGTTCAGACACACGTTTGAGTGGACATGGCTAGGAAAGGATTAACATCAGGCCTCCTTTGCTCTGGCCCCTCAAAGCTCCCTCAGAAACAAGAGTTAAGACAAAGGGAGAGTATCGTTCACGCTCTGCTGAGTGACTCTGCACCTGGGTTGGTGAGGAAGCCAGGTCTGCTCCACCTGGATGATACAAACATGGAGAGAGAGAGAAGAGAGGGCCTCTAGGTGTCCCTGGAGCCCACAGGTCTTGCCTCGCCCATGTCCGAGGCAGCCTCATACACCTCACGCAGGAGACAGAGTAAAGAAGCTGCTCCTTGACTTGCTGCTGGCCTCTTGAGAAGATGAAGCCAACTTTTGGATGATTTCACTTATATGTGGAATATAAGAAAACCAAAAAAGATTCTGATAAAGACAAACCTTGAAAGGTGGCATGGATGTGAGTCACCCAGGAGTGGGGGGAGGGGGACGGCAGTGAGGGATGGGTGAAAACAGTGAGGGAAAGAGCACCAGGGAATATGGTGATGGACCACAGGTGCTCTGGTGGTGGGAGAATTAAGGTGACCGTGCCTGAGAGGAGAGATTATATATTGTCCTAAAATTAAATTTAAAAAAAAAATTAAATAAAGCTGTGCCCACGACACCTCCCACTTTCTATATCTTTTTTAATCTTTCTATAAAGTTCTCTAAATAGAGACTTAAAACCATTTTGTGAATCAGTGCCACCCGGAATCCATAACCACAGCTGTAGCAGTGCCTAACAAAGCTGGCATTTCATCTCCTGACTCCTGTACCTCATAATTGGTAAGGGAAGACGTGTTAGTTACTGCCTCCCTGAATATCTACCATCCCAGTGGTGATATGTGCAAATCAGTCTTTATAGCAAGAAGATAGCAGCAGGAATGGAGATGCAACCATCAGACCTATGAAATCTTTAATCAACTTGGAATGACAAAAACAGAAAATGATCCTGTGCTGCTTCTTTAACGAAGGGTCCCTAAACAGGAAGAGAGAGCAGATTCTTGTGACAGTTGTCACAGCGCAACTCAAAAGCACAGTCCCATCCACGCCTGGAAGACTCTGCTCTTCCCAGGAAAGAGCAGTTACTGGTCACAGGAGGGCCTTGACGTCCTCTCTAAGCACCTCCTCCTTCACCACCTAAACACAGCCCATGAGAGACCTGAGAGACCCTGAGTCCATCGTCAGCACCCAGAGTTGCTGGGACTGTACCTGGGATTGACCCTCCCTCCTGGAGAGGGGAGAAGAGAAACAGAAATGGGAACACAGTATGTGAGATGATGTGGGAGGCATTACATGGTCATTCTAGAATAAGGAAATTTGAGAGGGAATTTTCAAAAGCTGACATGGACCTCTGTTCCCTTTCTTCACCCCTTGCTTATCAGCAATTCCTGGTTTTTAAATTTTAATTGGGTTTGGCATGCAGAAAACACTATTTAAACGACTGTTCTCCATTTCTGTCCATCTGACAGATTTGACCACTTGGCACAGTAATGACTTGGCCACCTACCAACATCATAAGCACTGGAATAAATCCCTGCGGAGTTTCTCTCTTCTGCTTCAGCTGAGCTCGGTCTTGAAAAACTGTGAAATCTGTGGTAATAAAAGCACAGAGCGAAACAATTTAGCTGTGTGATGGTGCCATTGCTTTGCACTTGCATATCAGAGAGAGAAATAACTGTCTGGGGGAAGTTCATGCATATAGCTCTGAAATGTCATCACAATTACACCAGGCTCACAAAGTCTCTTGCTGGTTTGCGAGATGCCCATGGAATAAAATAACTTCTTGGACCATTTTACTCACTAGAGTTAGGTAACCACAGCTCACCATTCCTTTAATAATGTTTTCCCCGTTAAATTACCCATAGATCTATAATTTAGAAGAAAGGAGTTACCTGAAATCTATGACCACTTAGCACTTGTGATTGAAAGGAACAAACAACTTGCTCCACAACTTAGATAAACAAACTCCACAGACCTTACCCCTTTCTCTCTACGGTCTAAAAAATGCAATGTCAACATTTCTGCTCTTTCTATTTTATTGTGCATAAGGAAACCTCTTTCCTTATGCATAATTCACTGCCTTTTACTTCCACGCTCTGCATGTTCTTACACACAGATGAACCCCCATGCCAGCTGCCTCAATGGCAAGCCCCCAAGAGTGGCCCCATTTATTCACCCACTGAGGAGCCACATGGTGATAAGGACAGAAATTACTGGAGCTCAGGTTCCTCCCAGGCTTTACCACCCACCTTTCAGCTCTGTCCAACAGCTCAGAAAAATGAGCTCACTTAATGGGTCTGGAAAGCACAGCGGCGTTCCCTCTCCACGCCACCCGCAGAACACGCTTCAGTGACATGTGCTTGGGGCATTGCTGCCTCCCAGGCCAGAAGAGCAGAGAAATGGAAGCCAAGAGTGTTGAGAAAATGCAGAAGTAATTTCATGTTCCCATAATCTTAAAATTTACAAATAGAAGGGGGAAAGAGATAAAATCTAGAGAAAACACTTACTGCAGAGATAAGTCAAAACCTTGAGAATAAAGACAATGAAAGCTGCAAGTAGGAAGCTCACAAAATCCCCTCTGCGTATAAAGAACAAGACAACATGTTGCATACGTGCAACAACTGTTATAAGCACCCAGTGTTTTCATCTCAAACTACTTGATTATGATTTGCCTAAATATTTCCAAGCCTTCACCAGCAAAGGTAAAATGTTTGGCGGAATTTTAGGTGAGGAAACAAACTGGAATTGGATGTGGAAAGTAGAGAGTAAGTCTTTTTCCATCCTCGATTTTGGAGGCACATGATGGAACAATAATGAATAAAAGGATTGAAAAGACATTAAGGCAAAGTTAGCTTATTTTCCTGCAGAAACCTGCCATAAAGAGATACAGTTTTCACATAAGGTTGTGTATCTGCAGCTGCTGAGTTGCCCACACTGTGGCAGGCTGTCTGTATACCACAGCGTCTGGGCAGCATGCTGAGATAGCATCAACCACTAGAGGACAGGATGAGACTATCGTGTGCAGAGCTGTTGCAGCCCATTCATATTCCAGAGGAGTACAGGCTGCAGGAGAAATGGGGCACAGAAATGTCAGTGAGTGACACAACTGTTGGTGACACGCCAGCACAATGTATTTCTAAATCCTCTTACGGGGAGTTTCCTTTGACATCTAAGTCAGCAAGCAAATGAGGCACTAAGAACAACACCAGTCGCAAGAGCAGCCACAACTGAGAACTCAGAAAATGGAACAAACAACAACAGTTTTTACCCGAACTGAAATCAAGAAGGTAGGGTGTGGATATAGGCAAGAGAGGCCAAGATGCCACTGAGTGGCTGAATCAGGGGACACGGAGGGAAAGGGCCTCTGCTCTTGGAACTTCTGGGAGATGTGAAACAGCCACAGGCTAGTATGTTCCCAGGCAACCCGGTTCCACAAACAGCACATGCAAAGCCACCAGAGGGAGATCTATCAGTCAATACGGACAGACCTCTCCAACATGCATACGTCAGAAGTAGCAGCAAGTTTCGCCCTCCCTGGTGGCACAATGGGTTAGGATGCAGCACTGCAAGCTGGTGGCAGCTGCTTCAGTGCAAGTTCGATCCCCACCCACCCTGGAGGTGACCCACATGGCGTGGCTGACCTCTCCTGTCTCGCCCACTGCTCCCCTCAGCAGTGTACTTCGTCAGTCTGCATGTTCTGCTCCCCATCTGTCTCTGGTGAATCCTCTCACCAACCCTGCACCTCTGGCCTGTACCCCAGTTCTGTATGCATTTAAAAAAAGTAGCAGCCAAGCAGCAACCCTCCAGCCACCTGAGACTGTAGAGGGGCTGCTCTTCACGACCTTCTCCCTTTGCAAAGCAACAGAGGCGGCTCCTTGCAGGCTGCCCGCCTGTGACTACACAGGTGTCTCTTTAAGCAAACCTGCCC